TGAGATCTTATCTACCCTTTTAGTTAGGATATGTAATTGAACCATCTATATGCTGAAAAGTCAATTTAATCTAATTTTTAAATATTAGCTTTCCCAGAAAAGAAAAATCTAAATCTAATCTCTTTGTTCTGCTCATTCAATTTTCAAGAGAAATAGGAGGTGAGACCTACACTATTTGGAGAATTACTACAAAATATTTAAACCATGTGAACTTGGCTGCATGAGATATTTCTTTTCAAGGGCCAAACCTATAGGATACAGCCAGACACTGGTTCAAAAGAGCTTGTTTTATTAACCTCATGAAGTTATAAGGAACATGCCACTTGAAAGAATCTCCTATTCTGGGAGGATACGGTAGATCAGAGACTTTTTTCTTTCCTTACTAGCGTCTATAACTAAAGAACTAATCCTTTATTTTAAGAAAGAAAAAATGTCTCCTTTATTGAATTAGTTCTCCTTCTCCTTAAAATTGACAAGGTTATCATCATGCGTTAGAAGGAATTTCCATTTAATTGGCCTGGGTGTCATTCTTAGATTTTGATGCATTTAAGAATGTTAGCTGAGTAACGTGCGTGCCAGGTGTCCTGGGACCTGCCACCTGCCCCAATGTGAAGCACCACACCAGGTCCCTGCTGCCCTCGCAGCCACGTGCGCCAGCAGGTGGTGCACAGGCCCAGCCCCACGCATAGCAAGGGTGGCAAATAGAAGGACAACCCTACTGAAGATGGCTCATCTCCCTCACTGGCAGTCACAGAAGGAAGAAGGGAGAATTCACCTTAACTGGGCTTGTCCGCAGCTAGGCGCAGACACCATCCACCAGCGTATCCAGGAATTCTAAGTTCCATGTCGGGGTCCGAGGGCTTCACCTGGGCAGCTGCAGTACCCCCACAGGTGTGGCAGTGGACACCAGTGGAGACATTATTGTGGAAGACTCTGGCAATCATTGAGTCAGCATCTTTTCTTCTGAGGGCAAGAGAGGAGCTGGTTGCCTCATGGGCCCCAAGGGAATGGCCATGGAACTGAATGGACATATCATAGTGGTTGACAAGTTGCTGCATCTTTCTTTACCTTCTGGTCCAATGGCAAGCTTGTTGGCCACTGGGGGACCATGGGGCCACTGACCACCACTTTGCAAGGCCCCATCTTGTGGATGTGAACAAGAATGAGATTGTAGTGCTAGGTTTCCATACCACTCAGTGAAGGTACATGGAGCTGGCAGAACTTCTCTTTAGGTATGGCCCCCCCAGGAGGGCAATGGGCGGTTCAGGGCCCCAAAGAGCATCCTTGGGGCTGACTGGGGCAGTAGCCCCATCCAGGTATCCTATAGCTCTGGCTGTCTCCTGTCCTGTATCAAGTCTGCAGAGCCACCATAGCACCCAAAGGGCCAGGCACTGGCCTCAGATGGCTACATGGTGGTGGCCAACCCTGGGGCCAACAGAAATAGTCAATAAGCAATCTATAATAGGAATAGAAGAGTTTTATTTGAGCCAAACTGAGGACTATAGCTTGGAAGACAGCCTTTCAGATAACTGAGGAACTGCTCCAGAAAAGCATGGTTTTCAGCAGAGTTTTATGTCTTGTCAGAACAAAGAATATTAAACAAGTCAGGGATACATTCCTTCAAGGTTTCAAAAACAAAACCAAACCAAAAACAGATCATGTACACAGCAAGTCAGTATGGCCTTGGCACCTGGGAAGGGAGTCTCATCGAAGGAGTACCAGCACTGGTGTCCCAGGTGGGGAAGCATTTAATCTTTATGTTTAAACATGGACATTCTTTACTTCTGGTCAATGTGCCATTCTCTTAATAAAGCAGATGTACAGTGTACATTTGACAGGCCATGAACAGGCTGTTCTAATTTGCATAAAATTCAAGTTAACTCGTACATAAGCCAGAATGACTTCTCCATATCTCAGTATATGAAAATTTCTTTTAATATTGGTAGCCACTGTTTTAAGGCCTATGCCACCTCCAGTAGCTGCATGGAGGCCCTGCCATACTCGTGTAAGGATGTACCTAGGAGTGACTGGACAAGATGTTCTAGCCAGAATCTGGCAGCCCTGAATGTGGGCTGTGGGTGTGCGTACGCCCAGTACCCTCCCTTTCCCCATCTCCGAACCCCAGGGTTGCTCTTTATTTATTTGATTCTAGTTTTGACTGAGGGCAAGGGGGCTGGACTGTGGTCCCAAGGATGTGTGCAAAGCTTCACTGTACCCTCCTTACACATCTCCCTTGTCCCCTCAATCTGCTCCCCAACCCCCACCCTGGGGCCAAAACAGCCTCTTACTTCAGGGCAGAAGTCCCTCTGGTTGTCTGCCTACCACCCTATACACAGAGACATACCCCATCTCTCACATTAAATGAGCCCACACACAAAAAGCCAAATGCAGGACAATATGTATTTTTAAAGCACATTTTTCACATTTAGAATCGCCACGTCCAAAGATTTCTTTTCAGGGACCTCCACTGGGAAATTCTGATGGCTATTACATGTGTGTATTTATAAAAACATGTGTGGATTATCGCCCAAGTTTATTCTTAGGCAACCTCAATGTTCCGGCAATCTATAAGCAAACCACAGAGAGAGAGAAAAACCCAGAGCCAAATGGAAAAAAATAACTACTTCTTGGCTTATGATTGCCAGGGTTAGAACACTTTCAGGTTATTCCTTAACTATAATTGATGCCACTGTCTCAGAATCCCACCCACTGCCAGGGTCAAAGATTACTGTTACACAGAAAGCGTAGTCTGTAAACTCTCTTCCTTCATTCAAAATAAACTCGGAATAGACATCTGGCAAGAAGGGTTGTGAAGTGGGAAAGAAAAATATTTTTCGGCTGACAGCTCTAAACAGACTTAGCAGAGGATAAGGACCTATGGATCTTTTCCAAACACCATTTTTTTTCCTACTTAAATGGTATGTAATTCAGGTTATTCCAGAAGGATGAAAAGGATTCACTGGGATTCAAACCGATCGTTCTTGAGAAGTTTAGGTATTATTGCACTACATCATTAAGAGAACAAAAATCTTTAAAATAGGTGAGTATTGCTTTCCCACAAATCAAAAACCCTGTGTCCACATTTGGTGTCTTTCATCATTTCTCAAAATGGAATTTGCTCAAATCAGATCTCAGCATCACTGAATGGTAAGTGTGTGCAGAAGCAACACGACAGAAGGGCATTCACCTTCCACCAAAAATGTCCTAAATGGCTTAGCTGGTAAAGAGTATTACAAAGAGATAGCTAAGATAGATCAAAGTTTTAATCTTCTTAGCGACCTGTTTACTTTGCTTAGCTCTGTTTTACACTGGCCACAAACTCACCTCTCTCAAACTCCTGTTTCTAAATAAAGAAGGACCAGGAAACAAGGCATTAACAGGAGAACACAACAGGCACTGCTGCCAGTGGAAAAGGCACCTTTCCATAGACATGAAACTTACAGGCATTTCACCGCTCTTTTCATTTATTCCTTCCGTGGGGCAGGTTCCAGAATCACAGGAAGAAATGAGGGATAGCCTCCACTCAGGAGGAGCTCGATGTGTAAGAAAAACAGAAACGATAATGCAAGCCCAGTAACTGAGGTATGAAAAACAGAGGCGCTAACCCCAGCCTGGGAAGGCTCTCCAGAGGTGGCACAAGCTGGAGGCTGGAGAGGATGTCATTTTAAAAACTGTAGCCGATGCTAGTCCAATATAGTAGCTAGCTAATGCAATTTAATTTCTTTTGGGGGGGGGAGTAATTAGGTTTATTTATTTATTTATTTATTTATTTATTTATTTAATGGAGGTACTGGGGATTGAACCCTTGTGTATGTTAGGCACTCACTTTACCACTGAGCTATACCCTCCCCCACTCCAGCTAATGCAATTTAAAAGACCAATATGAGCCACTTAATATATTATTCTTTTCTTTGAGGGGGTAGGTATTTAGGTTTGTTTGTTGAACGTGGTACTGGGGATTGAACCCAGGACCTCATGCATGCTGAGCATGCGCTCTAACAATGAGCTGTACACTCCTCCAATATATTATTCTTGAGTTTAAGAAAAATGGGACGCTCCAGCAGTAGTCATCTGGGGATCTCTAATGTATGTAGCAATAAGATGGCATCAAATTCTTTGACCCTACTGCTCACTTTTGTTGTTGAAGATAAACAGATCCCTGGCCCTGTACATAAATTCGAATAAGAACAGGTTTAGAATTTTGTCTTCACGATAGGACTTTTCCCTGTAAGACATACAGGAGACGTGGTTTAAATGAACCAAGTGATTCTCCAACTTTCAAATCGTGGCTTTACATACAGGAAAACAGTGAGACAGAGAAGTTCATCTTAGGAAATACTCGTCCATCACTGAAGTCTCATGCTCCATGAAGTAAGTTAATCATTTTATTATTTTATTTTAAAAAATATTTTATTTTATTGTGTTAACATTTAAATTCTTTGTTTCATTTTTTTTTTGTTTTTGGTTATTGTTGTTCTTTTTTGGGGGAGGAGGGGAGATAATTAGGTTTACTTATTTATTTTTTTATTTAACAGAGGTACTGGAAATTGAACCCACGACTTCTTGCATGCTAAGCATGCGCTCTACCTCTGAGCCACACCCTCCCCCCTAAATTAATCATTTTAAAGTGAGCGTGTTTACTATCTGAGGTTCCTTCTAAAATCCCCTTAGGGAGTGGAGGTGGAGCTATAGCTCAGTGGTAGAGCGTATGCTTGGCATGCACAAGATCCTGGGTTCAATCCCCAGTACTTCCACTAAAAAAAAAAAAAAAGGGAAAGAAAATAGTTGCAGAGAATACAGAGTCCAGAGCCTACTAAGCTGAAAAATAAAACTCCATCTTCAACCTCGCCAGCCAATTAAAGAAAAAATTTTTTTAAATTAAATCTCTCCAAATGGAAGCTAGACCAGTCAAAGCTTTGTAAATTAGTGAGACACTGTCGCCACCTTGTGTTTAACAGTCTTCATTACACTCACAGTACAGTGAAAGATCACACTTGGGATTCAACAGTTACAGAATATAGCTTTATTAATAGAATTTTACAAATAAAAACATTTACAGTCCACATAACTTAAGGTATTTTCTTTTCTAATTTATCCTCATAACACCTGAGTTATTTAAAAAACACTGTGATGGAACTGCAGAACTGTAAAAGGAAATATGAATAATAAAAACCTAACCTCTCTCTTTTGCAAAAATCAGATAATTTTTTGTTTTCTAAGTGGATTCCAACATACTACCATCTCCATATTACCACGGGGAAGAGGACTTACTAAAAACAGATCTTAGGATACCAGAACAGAAGCCTTCTTTCTTAAACCCAGGGTGAAGGACCAATGAAAGAAAGACCCAAGTTGACCCTATATACAAAACAACCTTTGGGGCAAGGACAGAAGGCAACCTGAAAGCCAGGGTGAGTGAGAAGCAACAGAACCCTTGCTCCTGGGTCACTGCTGCATGTGACAGACTTTCCTACAGTTATCCTTCGTAGAAGCTGGTCCATATGGGGCAACAGAAGTTGAGGATGTGAATGCCAGGGGTGAAAAAGTCCTCAGAACTTGCTGCTCTTCAGACTTCTACTAGGTACAAATGCTTAAAACAGCAAATCCAACGCTTAAAAGTCACAAAAAAATCACCACATTTTCAATGCATGAGGCAAATCTGTTGCCAATGGCAACATACAATCAGTTGCACGATTTAAGTGTCTCCACCCCTCCTAAGTTCCAACTAGACTGGCCTCTGGACCAATTACAGTTTGAAGAGAATTTCCCTTTGAGGCAGCTGTCAATGAAAGGAAAGTTCGTGCTATAGACGTGCACGAGAAGGGAAAGCACCCTATTGCTTCATCTTTTACTTTTTAATTTGTTAAAGATTACATTTTTGAGCTCTTCTATAACTAGAAACCCACTAATTCTTACTTAGTATTCTACTTCAAGAATAACGGTATTTGTAAGGAATGACAGATCTACAGGGAATGCTAAGATTATAAATTTAATACATCAATGAGAATCAAGGGAAGCAAAATCTTCTAAAGTCTTAGTTTGAGTGTTATTTTCTGCTAGCTCTGAAAGCAGTTTGAGAAAAAACAGAAAAGACAAAGAATCGTTTGAAAACACTAACAATAACAGGAATAAGGATATTATAAAAAGTTAAGATTCCAACATTCAAGGAATTGGTTCTTTGGTAAAAACTGGACCATAATTCTACCAGGAGTCTGTCCTAATAATTCATCTAGAATCTTGAGAACTGAGTTTTCCTTCCTCTTCCGCCCATTCTCAAATCTATCAAAGCCAACAGGCAAGATGAGAAAAAAAACTTATAAAGGATCACTGGAGGTTTTCCCGCTCATGTTCTTTTCAAGAATGTTCCTGGTTTGAGGGTTTTCCCCAGGAAGAAAGGGAGGAAGAAAAAAAAGAGAGAGAGAGTAGATGCTGCTTTTAATTACTATAGAATGGAAAAATTTCCTGGCAGAACGGAAAAAGTCACAGGTGGTGGCAACGAACCAGCACCTGCCAGTCATGTGCACAAGTCAGTTTGCGAGCACAGCCCCTGGGCTGCAACTGTGGGCACCGCTGAGGAAGGCTTCTGGAGAGGTCGGCTCCCCAGAGTGGCTAAAGAATCTCACATTATCAATATGATAATAATAAAGCAATTCACCTAGTGAACTTGGGGATTAGCTCCCCTTGCAGCCAGAGCGCTGAGGAGAGGGCTCCACAGGGCCTGAGGCTGGCCTACAGTCTCACAAACGAGTCTATCCGTCCATTTTCCGAAGAGAGTTAGAGCAATTTATATTCCAATTTGATGCAGGATTCGCCCCTTCCTGTTTGGGGGGAGGGAGGTGGGGAGGGAGGGGGAGCCCAGACAGCGCAGCGTAGCCAGTAGGTCCTCCGTTCTGCAAACACCAGCGGTGCCCCCATCCACGCTCTGGGCCTTGCCTCTCAGAGTTCTATGGCTCGTATTGTTGTTATTTATGGGATTAACAAACCCTAAACGTCACCTGCACTGATTCCGTTTCTGATTACCCTTGTGGAAAAGCGTAAGCTGCACCCCGATTCTCCGGGGCAACCTGCCACTTGGCAGCAGAAGCGGTGACCGGGGAGGTAAACGTGTGCGGTCTCCCCTCTGCTATGAGCATCATGAATGTGCTTAGAATGTGCTCCCAGGGAGGCAGCGGAAAAGTCCCTCAGGAGATGGGAGTGGGGAAGGGGAGGTGTCTCCTCTCTCTGCCCTCCAGTCTGTCACTGTCTGCCTGAAAGGAGGGGAAGTTCAGGCCACAGAACTCTATGCCTGCTCACCTGGACGGCCAGGAAGCCCCAGGCGCAGTCACAGAACCAACGCCCGACGTCGCCGGGGGAACAAGTAACTGTCCCAACGAGACACACACCATCGGGTCTACTTCCCCCCTCTCAGGAGGATCCCTGCCTCTCCTCGTCTGTTTCCAAGTTTTAGTTCTCTTTGACAAAAGAAGCAAGCAACTGAACAGCTTGGAAGAAACAGGAGGGATTCCTGTCGTTTGTACCTTTTCTGTAAAAAAACAGGCGAATTCATTTAAAAATGGGTCACCTTGAGGCCCAGGATACACAGTTAGATTTATGGGCCCCAAACTATATAGATTCACCACACTCCTGATATTTCTAACCAAGTTATGACTCTTGGCTATATTTCTGCATCGTAGGGCCAAGGATTCAGAACGTCTCAGTGCTGGCTGGAAGAGAAAGAGGTCAGAGTAGCCAGAGAAAAAAAAGTTAGGCTTGTCTTTTCAGCTGCATTCAGTTCCAGAATCACTCTGAGAAAGAAGAGAAGGCGAGAGGCACTACCTAGAGGCTGGTTACCAGGGCAGCTTATTCCTAGGACAGAGCATTTTAAAAACAGCTGACACTTGAATGCAGGAATACAGTCCGTGTCACAGTTTTTAATAGGACTGCCTCTTCCGAGGTGCTTCATGGACGAGGCGTCCTCCAGCAGGGGACAGGATAGCCCGGGGCCACACCTCCAATCCCGCTGGCTCCAGGCACGGCCCTACCCGATCTGGATCTGTCCTGAATACATAGTAAGGAGCAGCATGATGGCGAAACCAGTCAAGAGGCCCAGGTTCTGGATGACAAAGGGAACCAGGATACTGCCCTTCCTTTCATCCTCTTGGCAGACCTCGTTCATCTCGGGGAACTGGGGAAGAGAGAAAAACAACAGAGCTGAAGTTCCCGTCTGAACCTGTTTGCAGGACATTCAGTGCGAGAGAGAGTATGTATATTTATACCTAAGAATTGTTACAGTACTTCTTAATGTTTATATGAGAATATCAACACAGACAGTAGCATAAATATTGTTTTAGCTATTATTTTGCATAATTAACATATACACATAATTGGCTTATAAGGAAAATCAACAGCGGCCGCCTCTAGAATGTAAACGTAACAGCCTTTCTCAAAGGTGGTTACCGCCACTTTACAGCTATTGAGGAAAAACAAAGTACTGCGAGTGCATGTAGCCCTGGGTGTGTTCACATGCTGGCTAAAAATAGCCACTTTGATAAAAATTAATGTGACCTTTTAAAAGCACTTGATGGGGGAGGGTGTAGCTCAGTGGTAGAGGGCATGCTTAGCATGCAGGAGGCCCTGGGTTCAATTCCCAGCACCTCCACTGAAATAAATAAACACATAAATTAACAAATCTAATTACCCACCCCCTTCCAAACCAAAATGAAGCAGATAAAAGCACCTGAAAAGGTCTTTTGGCTACCAAAATGTTGTCGTGTGTTTGGAAAACTGAGTATCTGTGTAAGGAACCAGAGAACAGAGCTATGACACAAGGCCTCCTGCTGTTGGCCAGCAAGGCAGGTGACAAAAAATACCCTAACCCCAGGGAGGGCCACCCACAGAGGAGAGAGACGCTAAGATGTTTCCCTGGGCTGAGTGTAGGCGCTTATCATCGCATCAGAAATACTACTTTCCAAGGTTACGGAAAACAATTCATGCAAACATGCCAAAGAACACGTCATGCCAACAAAGAAGGAAAGAAATCAACCAGTCAGTTATACAGAAGATGCAACAACAAACCAGGTCCTTCACTAGCAAACTCAAAACTACTTAAGTGGTTACGTCAAAGGTTAGCAGGTCCAGCACAGGGTACACTCTCAGACACTGCTAATAACATAAGGAAGGGTACGCCTTTTCAAAAGCAATCTGGCAATACATATTGAAAGCCCGAAACCATGCGTCCCTTCTGAGCCAGCAGTTCTTGCTCTGGATAAGGTCACTCCTCTCACCAAATGACACCGCCACTGAGAAGGATGCTTTTTAAAGAGTATGCAACATGAAAAATGTCTGGGACACATTAAGTAAAAAAGAAACCAGGATATAGCATTGTATATTCAATGTGATCAGAGTTATTTACAGACAAACACAATGCACTGAGACAAAAAAGAAACAAACCCAAGTGGTGGTGGTGTTCTGGGGGAGAATAATTATGGGTAATATTCTTTCCTTCCTTCCCTCCTTGCTTCCTTCTTTTCATTTGTCTGTAATACTTAAGTAAGGACACTGGAGCTGAGTTTGACCATTTTCTTTAATGACATAAGCTTTTCATCCTTTAAAATCTAATGTCCCCTTATGTCACTGAACTGTACACTTAGGTAATTGTGTGGTACGTGAACTGACTCCTCAATAAAGCTGTTATTAAAACCTAACTAACGTCCCCTTAGCTGTCTTCTCAGCCAATGACTTTAATAACGGATCCAGTTTTGCTTATGTGGCAGAAAGTACGTTAGACTTACCATATCAGCCAGAGAAATATACAAGAACATTCCTCCAGCCAGTGCAAAGATCCAGTTGGCAGAGAAGTGGTTGCTGGCTAAGATGCCAAAGGCCAGACCCACGTAACAGCAGCAGGCAGAGAGGAAGTTAAAGAAGAGAGCCTGCTGGATATTCATGCCGGCATTGAGCAGGATGACGAAGTCTCCTATGGCAGAGGAAACAAGAGGGGAGGGTGTGGGCAGAAGAGTCATACTACGTCGTGGGACACAGAACTGGATGAGGACAGACTGCTTAAACGATGGATGGAGACCGGGTGAAAATCAAGACAGCCCCCGACTGGAGATCACAGCGGCAAGACTTAGGGCCCCCTTCATCTCCACGCCGGGAGCCGTCTCCATCTGCGAGGCTGGCCGTGTACTTCCAGCCTAGAGGCTGAAAGCTGTGCACATGATTTTCAAAAGGCCATTTAGCAATGGCCTCATTTGTCTTTTGATTGATGGTGAAACAGAAGGAGTTTCCTTCCTCAAAACTAAAATGAATGGTATTTTTAGGAAACAAAATTGTGTGAAGTTAAGTAATTTTGCCCAAAGTCATAAGCCAATAAATGGCAAAGCCGGGACTTGACCTTGAGTGTCTGTGCCTGCAAAGTCGGCTTTTTACACTCTCCCTCTGATAAAACCAAGGACCTTCCAAACCCTGGTTCATCTACCGTTACGCACTAGCCGTCTAACATCACACCTCAGCCTCTGGAAGAGTGGTAGGATCTAAGAGACCAGTACTGAGCACTCAGAAGAGCGTATGGTGCATAGGAGTCCTTTCCACCATTGTTTCCCCTTTGCTCCTCACGATAGATCAGGGAGTGAGGTAGGTACCATTATGAAACCCATCGTACAGGTGAGGAAACTGAGCCACAGGATGTGAGGCCGAAGGGAAACGAGCATCTCTGTAAAACCTCCGTCATTTCCAACCATCAATTTTCAATTATTCATTCAGCTGTTAAGAATTGGTGGTTCGATTTCCTATAGCGTAAAGAACATGTTAATTGTAAGTGTTCTGAAGTCGGGAGGAGCTGGCCACAGGAAGGATGCCTGGGCCAGTAATGGAGGCAGCCCAAGTGGAATGGACCGGGAGGTTTCGGGGGGCCGGGGTGCACACACACTCACCTAGCTCATGCGGGAACTCCTCACAGAGGATGGCCACTGAGGTGCTGATGCCCTGGAAGACCGACACGGTGAAGGAGGCGCCGATGGCCAGGCCATCGATGAAATTGTGGAGGCCGTCGCTCAGGGTGATCATCCAGGCCAGAGTGCCGATGTCAGAGTAGCGGACGCCTTTCAGCCAGTAGCAGGCGCTCTGCGAAGCCTGCAGGTCCTGGATGAGAGCCCAGCCCCAAGGCCCCAGGTCAAAGGGTGAATGTCAAACCTGTCGTTACCGCTTAGGGGCCCCCGCCCGCCAAACAGTGGCCAGCCGACCAACCTGGACAGACAGCGAGCCCACAATGACCTTCTCGTCCACCACGGGGGCCTTCCCGTCCAGCTCGCTGCTGCAGTGCTGAGGAATCATGTGGTCCAGATCCCCGTTCTGCAGCTTCTCCGTCACCCCCTCCTCCTGGTCCTTCTGGGAAGGCAGTGTCTCGGAGGCATAATGGCTATGTCCATGGTGATGCTGGAGGGACCCCAGGGAGGGGTCAGCACGATGCTCACCAAAACCACCCCACAGGGCAGGGAGGACCTCACTCCCGCCATCAGAGAAAGCACAAGTAGGCGATATGATGGGAACCTTGGGCAAGGTGTCAGGGAAAGCGGAACTGAGGGCACTGTGGGGCTGACGGAGGACAGATCTCAGAGCAGTGACCTCAGGGCCCACACTCATTCCATCCAGGAGGCACTGCTCAGAACGTTTAGAGCTCCTCCTTGCAACGGCTAATCTTATTCCATTCAGCAACTTTTAGAGGATAATTACATGCCAGGCACCAAAGGTAACTTCTGGGGGACTACGCTGCCATCATCGGTCCTGTGTCTGTGAGCTCATACCTCAGACACAGTGCCTGTCCTTCATCTCCTAAAGGTATGGAATTCTATTAAGGAAATAATCTAGATCAACACACAGCGGGCAAATTACCACCTAATAAAAGGCACACAGTTCAGATCTGGTTTCTGGTTTGCCCTCACCCCTTGCTAATTCCCTCCTGAGATGAAGTGGGAAATTCACTCATGAAATAATCTGTGGGTCTGAATCCATGGCAGGAGGGTCCAGGCGAGCTCAGTGGATCGGTGTTGCGGTAACACCACTACCAGGACATGAAAGCATTTTGGAGATGGACGCTCTCCCTAGGGTCACTTCCTTTACCAACAGTTAAGCCTCACCTCATTTTTCTGTTTAAGAAGTATCTTCAAGATCTTCTCTGTGAAAAAGAAAAGATAAAAGCCCCCGAACACCATCGCGGACTTGGAGACATAATTATCTTCCAGAGGGTTGAAGCCAAAAGCCTGTGGACCCCGGAAAACAAAGTGAGTTTAAGAATACAGAAGATCTTCGTTGGTCCCCTCTCATCTCTTAACCGCTTCCCTGACTCCAGGAAAGGAAAGAGACTGGGGCAACTCTGCCATCTCCCCAGTCCCTTTCCAGCAAAACCTAAACCTGGATGTTTCCCTAATGTCACATCACCAGACCTGCTAGGTTCTGGCTTATTTTCTGATGCAAAAAAAAAAGGCGTCTTTAGAATTTTAGTGTCGGGGAAAAACAGCCTTGGGTGTGACTTTCTGCTTTTAACGAGGGCTGCCTTCATTTCCCCTGCTGCTTGGCTACAATGGCGGACTCTGCCGGCAGATTCCATGCTTCAGGAGAAGGGCACTCGTGTTTGTTTTCATCGTCATCTAGCGTCCCTGGCTGATCTGCCCGTAAACACCAGCGAGATGGTGTAATTACACTTTCCAAAATGGGAAATCCTTTCCCCAGTTAAATAGCAAGAACTGTGGCATCTTCCTGACCGCAGACCTCCCAGCGACTACAAAGCCAAGAAAGCAGACTGTGACTGCATGTGTCAATTTGGGGGGTTTTGTTTTGAGTTCTGGAAACTTCACTTAATAAGGGGGAGAAAGAAGAAGAAAAGAATCCATTGGGAGGCAGACAGGAGCAAAAATCAGGAGACTTCTACTCCCAGCGATGCTCCTGATTCGTGCGTGTTGGTGGGGCGGGTCTGGGGAAAGCGACTGGTGACCTGCTCCTCCGTTTTCCAGCAGGAAACAGGCCTCTCGAATCAGCGCCAGCTTTCTCATGAACTGGTCGCAGGTAAAAGTGACCACTGGTACCAGGGACTCGGGACTGCTTGAAGTTAAGTGTTTTTCCTTTCTGTTTTAAAGAGACAAAATGCCATCTCTACCCCTAGTGTGGTCTTCTACAAGACATAAAGGTCAAGTTCTAAAATAGAGATGATGCATTCAGGCTGACTTTCCAGGAGAGTCAAATCACCTTAGGGGAAAGTGGGGCAAAAAGAGGCGACTAACAGTTGTTCTCCACAGAAAGCACTAGGATGGGAGCTCCTGTGCAGGTGGGATTCTGTATCTCGTCACGGGATAAAACTTTACTTGTTTCCTAGACGTCACAAAACCACATCTTGGAAAACATGAACTGCTCTACGAAGCGGGGCGTCAGCTTTCTGTCTCACGTCCGGCTGGTCCGGACCTGTCAGACCACCCACAGCGAAGTGTCTCATACTTCCTGCCATCAGCGGGTCTGCTCAGAGACCACGCCAGATCAGAAACTCCTTCAAGGCCCTTTGCAAACCCTACAGACACCAGGCTCCTCCTTTGCGAAGGGTTTCTGGTTAGCCTGGGCGAAGGAGCCAGGGTGCTTGCTGTCAATGTGCATGAGACCAGACTGGCCCCCAAACACCCTACTAAGGAGAACTGATCTTTTTATTGAAACCTATGCAACCTGCTGATGTGGGAGGTTTTGAGGTGCCCAAAGTCCCCAGACTGGGAGCCGTGATCTAACTACACTATCTCCCTTCATCCAACAGATAGAGCACTAGGCACAGGCATTCTACAAACATTAACTCATGTAAATAATCCTCACAATATCGTCCTAAGGTCCATCCTATCGCCCCCATCTTACCTATAAGGAAACGGAAGCACAGAGAGGTTACGTGGCCCGCCCAAGGTCCCAGACCTTGTGGCTGGTGGAGCTGGGATTCGAAGCCAGCTCTCACACTGACTCTGTGCTGTCTCTCTGAGCTCGTCTCTACGTCTTAGCATCACTTTCCAAAAGGAGAGGACCTCCTCTCTCTGCCTTCCATAGAGATGGAGGGCCCTCCCACTGTGCCCCGCCGTCCCCCCAGGGGACGGGCGTGCTCCTGCGTGAGGGGGCCCTGGCTTGCCATACCTCGGGGATGAGCTGGAAGAGGGCGTTGGAGTAGAGGGTTCCAATCGCCAGAGCTATGAAGTAGAGCAGCAGCCTCTTGTAAAAAGTCTTCTTCATAAAGGGCACCACGCTGGCCCCCATGAGGGAGCAGAGGGAGATGACGGTCACACAGAGGAGACCGTATCCCCACACTGCCGTGGGGGGAGAGCCAGCCCCACCCGGGACAGGGAGAGGGGCGAACGCCCCACAGCCCGGCAGCCACCATTTAGGTAGAGAGACGGAGAGGACGGGAGGCAGTGAGGGAGGTTTTGGTGGATATTAACAAAGGCGACAAAAAAGAAAAATCAGAGAGACAAGCAGGGAGGGAGAGAGAAACAGGACATTTGTTAGTGATTCAAGTCTGATGAAATTCCTTCAATCAGTTTAGGAGAAATGGGGAGGAACCGAGGTGGCCTTGGAACCCTGTGTCTCCCGCCCCTGCTTCCTGGTGGCCGAGTCCCACCTGCCAGCTGCTGTGACTGGCAGGGCGGGCAGCTGCTTGGCCCATGGCCCAGGGGTGCTTGGGCCTACTCCGAGGCTGCCCGGCAGACTTTGGACCCGAGGGCTCTCTGAAACAGGAAATGAGCTCAAGGAAGAGACCGATCGTCTCGCTGCCGTGTCTGCACGGCCGACCCGCGCTGTGCGGGCACACGTGACGTTCCCCCATCTGGTCTGCTCCGTGCAAGACACAACCAAGTCACATGTGCAGGGCAGAAGGGACAGGGGACAGGCAAGGCCCGAGGCCCAAAAATTCAGTTTCTTAACACCTCAGGTTCTGTTCTGTTTGTTTCCTTTTGCTTTGAGGGCTCCAGCAGAGAAAACAGAGTTCCAAGCTCACCCCGTCACAAGGTTTTCCCTCAGCCATTTCCCAGGGTCACACACACTCCGGGCAGGACAAAACTGTGCCAGGACGAGGCCTCCCCTGCGAGCGCAGGGGCGGATTGTGTGTACCACGATTGTATTCCCATTTAACAGGCAACATGGCATTTCATTTCCAATCTTGCAAAACAATTAAATTTAATTTCTGGAGCTGAAAAAAATAGCCCAAGATGAAGTCTGCCCTGAGAAGCGCTTGCTGGATTCACATGGGATCCTAATATGGCATCCAGATGGTTTGTCTAAAACCAGATTTCTTCTCTCATCACGAAGAAGGAATAGGCAAGGTAAGGCCTGGGCATCCCAGGTGGTGTCTCTTCTGGGAGAGAGTCTTTGGACTGAGAAAGGCCGGGCAGCTGCCCACACAGGCTCTTTCTGGAAGGCGGCCACCGTCATTCCCAAAGGAAGTCCACTCATGACCCATCGCCCCTACTGCACGTCCTTGACTGCGCTGACAGGTGGGCAGACCATCAACTTGGGGCTTATTTTTTTCAGCTCCTCAGCACTTACAATTAAAAGACAAAATTAACAAACATTTCAAAACAGTCAAGGAAGGGTGCCAGGAAGTCGGTCCTATCAGGAAAAAGTCAGGATGCAAGGTGCGAAGGACTGTGTGTCCCTTTCCTTTATTATATCATTTTAATTTCGCTTGTTTTTGTAAAACAGTCCTCATTCTACATTTGGCCCTCTATACTAATGGATTATGGCTGCTTAAAAAAAAAAAAGGATCGGGTACGTCTTAGGCCGATCCAACTTTTCAGCTGGTAACCTCTTTCCTTCCACCTCATTTCAGGTGGATAAACTCTTGGCGGCCACACCTGAGTACTGCCAGGACCTCTACTTAGAGTGGGTCTGGAGGACCAAAGGCAGGGACAGCAACCACCGGCTCCAGCTCTCCTTCTGAGTCCTGCAAAGACAGGGAAGGGACCCTGCACCGGCTCAGGAAAGGCACTGACTGAGGAAGGAGGCTGAGAGGCTCCCAACATCGAGGGGAGGGAAGGGATGTGAAGAGCCTTGCATCTGACACCCCCTGAAGAGAACAGAGGCAAACCTGGGTGCCCAGGAGTGAGAGGAGGCCCTTGAGATCCAGAGACAGAAGTCATTTGCATCCCTTGATAATGAGAAAGAAGTTAATGTTTCAGGTGGCAGCTGTCAGGTGCCCGAGAGCACGGGGTGGGGGCGGGGACGTGAGCCAGGGGCGGGCTCGGTGGTTGATGCCCCAGGGAGACAGGACCCGCACGTTTCTGGTCTACTGCACCTCTGGGATGAGCTGGAAGAGCGCGTTAGAGAGCAGCGTTCCAATGGACAGGGCGATGAAGTAAGTGAGCACACGGCTGAAAAACGCTTTCTCCGTGCACGGCAGGACGAGGACTCCCAGGAGAGAGGCCAGGTTAATCACTGAGACACTGAGGAAACCAAAGCCCCACACTGTGGAGGAACAAGAACAGATGGGGGCCTCCATTACTGAGGGTGGGGGTGCTCCTGCCACCTGGAGCAGCCCGATCTGAACTCGGCTGTGACCAGGGCAGGCAGATTCGCCAACCCATCAGTAAATATCCTCTAAGTCCATCTCTTGCTGGGTGCTGCGGAGAAGCCTAAAAAAAATACACCTAAGTTGCTATCCAAAAGCAGCTCACCTCTGAGATGGAGGGGCAGGTGAAAACATGGAAGGCTAAATACCACAGGACCAAGTGCTGGGCAGCACACAGGATTTCAGAAGGGCGATCCAGGCCCATGGGAGCCACGTGCACGCACAGAGCACGGTGAGTCCACTGTGGCCAGAGCAGAGGTCCCGAGCAGGGGGGTAGCGAGAAGGATGAAGCGGGCTGAGGGCAGACTGTGAAAGGTCTTAAATGCTAAACGGAAAACCAAGACGTTGGCCCCCTTTGTGGTTTAATGAAAACCAAAACAGAAGAGTGGCTCGGGGGCACCTCCAGGCTGGCCCAAAAGCCCAACACTGAACCATCACCGGCCACGCTGCCCAGTCTGGCAAAACGCTGGACCCGTCTTCTGAGCAGCACAGGACACCAGTATAGTCAAGACTCCAACTCACTCCTCCCAGGGATGATAAGAGGGTGATAACCAGTTAAGCATGCAGCAGGCCGCTCTATCTCATCAGCCCAGCGGTGATCCGGGCTAGCCTGCAGGAGGACCAGCACGGACACCAGGCCCTGCCTTCGCGGCCCAGCTCACCTTCCACTGAGCTGGGCCTCCCCTCCTCCGTCGGCTTGTCCTCCTTGTTCTTGTTCTTGGGGGAGCAGGCCTGGGAATCCAGCTGCTGGAGGATGGTGGGGCAGAACTCCTTGAACTCACTCTCCCCAATCCGCGACTGGTTGCTGAAGTCGTGGGCGGCAAAGAGGTCCCCAGAACTGAAGCACTGAAACAAAGCAGGAGGGGCAGAAAGTCTCTTAGGGCCCAAAGTCACACTTTGCCCCAGCGCCTCCCAAGAAGGAAACTAGGAGATGGTACTGTCCATAGTTCACGGAACCCACAGACTAATTTCCAACACAGCCCCTAAGCTTGAAAACCTGACAAGTAATCTTGGCAATCAGCCATCCATACATACCCTATGTGTGTACTCATCTGTCAATGGTTCTGGGAACAACTGAATTCCAATCATTATGAGCAAGGTGTGGGTGCTGGAAAGCACGCCTCTATTTGCATACCTGAAGATACAGCTCCATCCAGATACCAAATCTGGCTCCCTCACAATAGCCCAGGGAGCTATTACAGTGAAATGCAGATTTCAGATACTTCTCTGGAGCTACTGAGCACAGTATTGTCCCCAGCCTGCAAAACATGCTGTCAAGAGATTAGGGAAGGAAGGAGGTGGAAATCTAAAGATGGCCACCGGGCAAGTGCGGGCTGGCCAGTGGGCACGAGTTCTCAGTTCCCTTGGGAGGCATCAGGTAAGTGGTTCTCACATTCCGTTCCTGTGAAACACTGCTATTTTACTTCTAATTAGACACTCACCCACGTCAGTCTTTATCTGAATTTGGGTTTACATGGGTCTGTCTAGGGGGTGATGATGAGTGAGAGTTTCTGGGCTTACAAAGCTGGGGGCTGGACTCTGTGACCCCGCGATCCTGCTGCTCCGCTGGGAGGCCTCTGGGGTCAGGCCGCAGGAGCCCCCCTGGGCAGCACTCCCCACCAGCTCATGCACCACGCCCCTGCGGTTTTCAGGCCACGTGGTCCCTCCAAACTCTATTCTCCTTCACGGCGAAGCTCCCGGGACACCTCCCCTGTGACGCTTCCTTGACTATCTTCTAGTGCACACTCACCCCCTTGCCTGATTTCTGAGTCCTATAATGACTGTCCAGCCCACAGCATCTAATGCTTCATTTCAGTATCAGCTAACTTTGTTCGTGGTTGGTGGAGTTCCCCATCCTGAGGGTAAACTCCCTAAACAGGAGTCATTTTTCTCTGTTTCCCACAACACTCAGCACAGGGAACAAGGCAGACACATGAAGGCGTTGCTGGCTAACTTACATTTGGCTCCACACATGACCTCAGACTCTGATTAGCCAAGATGAAATGGAAGACAGAACTGAGAACCAGGAGCCAGAAGACCTGAGCCTTAATCCTGCTCCCTCCAGAACTCACTGTGGGGCCTTCAGTATCTCAGCATACACAGGACATAATAAAGATTTTCCACCTACACCTAGTGGTGCTTCGAGGCTCACCTGGGACAGCAGGCAAAGGGCTTTGTATAAACATTATTAGAAATACTAGCCGTCCTGGGAGCCCCAGCTCACCAGGAGATCCCAGTGAGCTCTGAGGAAGGATCTAGAGGGCTGAGAACCCCTACTTCCTGGCTGCCCTTGGCTGAGGGCTTCAGAACACCCATGTGGGAGGTCAGGAGGCGCTGCTGGGGACTCAGACTAGCTGATCCAGACAACAGGGCAGGAAGTGGCCCCGTGCTCTGTCATCAAGGCTCGCCTGTCCCCAGTTAGACTGTGAACCTCAAAAGGGCAGAGGCGGCGCTGGGCAGAGCCGGAAACCTTACCGTCGAGAGGTTCCTCTGCCCCTGCACAGGCTGGGTGATGTTGTTCTGACTCACTCCCACATCCAGGTGCTTGAGCAGAGCCTTCAGCTGCTGCAGGGTGAGGCTGTCACCCTCCCCATAGCGATGCATGAGGTCCTGCAGGAAAGAGGCTGCGCTGATGGCGGGCATCCCCGGGGACACAGCCTGAGCCTCCGGAGCAGCTGTCCATACACTTAGCAGGGTTAGCAGGAAGCAGCCAGGGAAGACTGGGTGCAGCAGCTTCATGGTGACAGGTGAGCCTGCAAGAGCAAAAAGCCAGGTGAGGGCAAGGCTTTGGAGACCCACCCTCTCCTTCCACCCTCCCATCTCCCACACCAGCCCATCAGCCATGCTTCAGACAGGTGGGGTCTCTCCTCAGACTCTGAATCCAGTCAGTACCTGAGCTGACCCGTCACCCCTTCTCTAATGCCTAGCTTTTGAGAAAAATCCTTCTTCTGGAACAGAATATGAAATAAAAGGACAAATTCAACAGGTTTGACTAAATTTAAAAAGACAAAAATAGAAAAACTTCATGGCTCTGGTTTTTGTTTCAAGTCCCTGTCTTTTCTAGAGATACTGAAATCATCATGGATTAAATACCTTACTTGGGATTTGCTTCAAAATCACAAAGGAAGGGACATTTGCATTAGAGTCAATGAGACAGGATTGGGCAGGAGTTGATAACTGCCGAAATGAGCGGTGGGTAGATGGAAATTCATTATACTAGTCTGTCTACTTTTGTATATTTTGAATTTCCCCAAACAAAAATCTAAAAATAATAATAATAATAATACAACAACTAAAAGAAGGAAGAAGAAAAAACTGGGAAAAACACACACCATCAAACCTGCCAAAGGGTTATTTCTATAACTGCCTAAATTAGGGAATCAACATGAGAAATACTCAGTCTCCCTGGTTTGTTAAGAACACAAATTTACAAGATGGAGGGTACTACTTTGCTACTTATTAAAACAGCGAAACAGATTTTTTAAAAAAAGATATAAAACCACTATATACTACAGGGAACTATATTCAATAACTTGCAGTAACTTATGGTGAAAAAGAATATGAAAAACGAATATATGTATGTCCCTGTATGACTGAAGCACCGTGCTGTACACTAGAAATTGACACAACATTGTAAACTGACTATACTCAATAAACATTTTTTTTAAAAGATACAAAACCAAATGTTAGTGAGGGCAAACGACAGAATAACATACTTCTGGTGGCTATATGAATAACATGATTCTTGAAAAGTTATATGATAATAAATGTATTTAAATCCCTCAGTAATTCGACTTCTAGAATGTACACTGATAGAAGCAATCCGAAAATAAAAAGCCTACAGCCAGAAAGATGTGCTGTGGTCAAGTGAATTATATCAATTTCATAGAATAGTACGCAGCTATAAAAAGGTTCGGCATCATGAGTTTAACGTTAAATAAAGAAGCAGAACCATTATGTAAAACAGAGTTAAGAACTGACAAGGAACAGATAAAATCAAAAGCTTACGGTAGCAGGGCTGAGTTTCTTTTGTTAATCATTCCCCTTCGTACAGTTATAATTTACTTAGTGAAATAAACAAACACCAGCAGGGGAAAATGAGCCTATTTAATCCAGGCCTAGGAATCCAGGCACTGCAGTTATTCCCAGGCAGCCCCAGGCACCCAGGGCTCTGGCTCGATGCCTCGTGGGGGTCACTCCACCTCCCCGCCTTTGCTTGGGACAGAGCAACCAGAGCAGAGTGGTTAAGAGCAGGCTTGTCTGCACTCCGACTCTACCACTCACTTGCTGTGTGATGTTGGGCAAGTTATTTAACCAGAGTCAACATTCTAGAATCACCCAGAGCACTGATGCAGTGTACCACGGCCTTCAGTGTCAGAAAGACCTGGCTGGAATTTCCACACTGCTTCCCAGAAGTGACCTTGGCCAGGTTCCTTAGCCTCTCTCCACACACAGTTTTCTCATCTATAAAATTGATTCCTACTTCACTAGACTATTATGAAGATTTAATGACATGAGCTTTGGCAAGTGACTAGGCTCAAGAATGCACTTGATACAATGTGGCTGTGATTATTGTAAGACTTATAATTAGCAGGGTTTCTCCACTCTGACTCTCTCTCAGTCCAGATATTAAGCTGCCAATGGAACCATCAGGAACACCCCGTGGCCAGCTTTACTCCAGGCCTGCAGCACACACATCACCCAGGCCCCTGATCAGAAGCATACCCGGGACGTGGGGCACGCACAGAATCTGGGGACCCTTGAATGGAATATACTTAGTCACACAAATGGATGGATTAGGCATCAACCAAAACGACAGCCTGTAGAAGTGTCACTTTGAGACGAGCAACTCTCAAATCTCCACCAAGCACCAAAAGTTAAATTACAGTCAGCAGGATGGATCTTAGTCCAAAACAGCAAAACCCCACTGTACAAAGAAAGCTGTTCTCCGCCTGACCACACTGTAATTTGTCTAAGGCGTGTGCTGTGCTGTCAAAACAAAGGGGAGGAGGGCTGCACGGGTTTAGAAAAGGGGAGGCAAAGAGATGAGGACAGCAGCTAGACCCGTGTGACCCCGCTGAGCACCTGACATTCACCGATTCCTTTAAGAGAAGGTGGGATACTTGTCCCCATCTAACAGATGCGGAAACTGGGGTTTGGAGATTAGGGAATGTGACCTACAGCCAGCAAGTAGAGCAGTGAAGCCAGAAACCAAATTTTTTCATGAATCAGGTCTAAATGATGCTGACATCAGGGCACTCTTAACAACCCCTTGGCACGTGGAGACAAAAACATACACAACCCAGGTCCCCTGCAGAGCCCCAAAGCTTGCATGTCTCTGGTCAGAACCTCCCTGATTTCTACCAGCCCCAAATGCAGGCATAAGATGCCCTGATGACCTGTGTAGGGGAACCCCCAAATGTGCCTTAGGGGACAGGCCGTGTTACAAGGTTCCTTCCGCAGAATCACTTCAACAAAACAAACAATTGTTCCCACTCCAGCTGTATTTCTCAAATGTATTTGCAGCAACGTCAGGACACTCAGAAACAGCAATAAACGTACAAAAACCCTTCAAAGGTGAGACTCCCAAGGTAGCTTCACCGGGATGGGCATTCACAGCGAGGTTAGCATGTACTTGGTGTTTGCTCTTGGCTGACCCAGTGGCCCCTCGGCCCCCTCCCGCCTGGCCCGTGCTTCCCAGAGTCAGAGCAGAGTCTAGAAACAACTGGGGGGCAGTAAGAAGTCTGGTCCAGGGATCCTGGAGTCACTAAAGACACTTCAAATCCAAGTGACCCGGGCCTTTTGGCAGACCCGAAAGGGGAGCTTTCTGCTCCAATGGAGATTTAAGTTATTCTTAGAACCAAAAAAAAAAAAAGTTTAAAAGAAATTCTTTGGAGGAAAGAAAGAAGAGAGGAAAAATACATACAGCTCATGGTAAGGCTGGATGGTGAGGCTGGAGGGTCTCCGTTGCATGGCCCTGGCTGCAGGAGGAAGCCTGTTTATTAAGGCCGTGGAAATGGGCGGCCCAGGAGACCACTCTTGCCGGGGGGAGCTGAGCCAGCTGTCTTCAAGGCCACCTTCCTTCCAGGAGCAAGAAGAGCGCACGGGGCCGGGCAGAACACAAGTTGGAGGCAAAGGCCCGAGTGTGCTGCTGGCGCAGAGGACCAGGCTCCCCCACGAAAGAGAAGCTGGAGTCTTTCCACCCCTTTGTTCCCTTGGCTCGGGTTCAAAGAAGTAAATTATTTCAGTGCCTTAGGTCTGTCTTCAAGGCGCCAGACCCAGCCCTCCACGGGGGAGCGAGGCCTGTGAGTCGGCAGGAGATGCCTGCTCTCGGACCCTCTCTGGAACCATCAAAAGTTCCTTCCCATCTTGGAGGCTCCTCATTTTGAATTGCACCTGCCTGTCAGCCCTCCACTAGGTCCAGAAGTAGCTCATCCCAGAATGGGCACTTCTGCCCCGAGGACAGACTTTACTGTTGCATTTACCACGATGCATTTTTTCCCATGCCCACCTCCCTTGCAGAGAGGAGCAAACATGAACTTCTCTTTGGGTGACAGAGCAGTGAGCTGCCATGATACATGGTCCAGAGGCTGGACACTGATGTGAGCAGAACAGACAACAGAGACCTGAGGGGCCTGGGAACTGCTGGGCCCTCAAACATCCACTCCCTTCCCTGACCACGAGCTGGGCGGGCAGCCTATCTTCTCCCTCTCAGACTCCTCTGGGCCAAGGAATGAAACACAGGAGATAAGATCGAATGTTCCAGAGACAAATTTGGCTAAGGCACAGCGGTTTCCAAGGCCAACTGGTAAGCCACAGGAAATGGGTAAAGGATGTGCCTGTAACTGTGGCTCCTCATACCCGCTCTGAGCCCCCTCAAAGCACAGGCTGTGTGGAGGCACAGTGAATGGTAAGACCCCACTAACTACCACGAGGCAGCCACCCTCACCCCACCCCCAGGGGCTCGCTCTCAGTCAACAGCCCATCGCTGCAGAAGACCTTCAAACACACTGGTCTTTCTCCAGTCCCTGGGCCCACCCCATTCTAAGACTGTCACCTGTCAGTCTAATAGGAATGTCTCCCCACTGAACACCCCCTATGAGGAGTAAACACTGCAGATGGTCTGGGTGAGCGCAGGGAGCAACATCCCTGAGCCTCCAGCAGGAGAGGCGTCTAAAAAACCCCCGAAACTTGAAGACCAAAGACAAAGCCGGGCCACAGGATGGAGGTGGTGGCCTTGAAGGCTCAAAACCCCTGGCATCTGCCTTCTGTGCTGTGGGTGCCGACAACGAGGGAAGCACGGACTTTGGCAACAAACAGGAGGACCACTGGGCTTGCTGTGACAGGTCCAGTTAGCAGCAACTCCAAGGTCTGATGTTTCCTGATGTTGGAAAGAGGAAAACAAAGCCACAGAGCTTTATGAGTACGAAGAAAGATAAAGCAGGTTGGAACACTAAATAAAGATTTCTGAATTAAGATGGAGAATTGGAATGGCAACACAATTTTCTTTTCCTTGATAACTAAAGAAAACCAGTAAAAAAGCCCCCCCCCCCCAAAAAAGTCACCCACAGCAAGCAAACAAGGAAAGAGGCGTATCTGATAAAATAACTTTCAGGAGAAGGACTGTTGGAGGCACGGCACGAGGCTCACCTCCCAGCCCCGGCCGGGACCCAACAGCTGCAGTGATGACGGAGAACCAGAATTCTCACTAAACCTCCCAGATCTGGAGAGAGGCAAACTGCAGCCAATTCCT